CAGATCATCTTAACAAACAGCATAATTGTAATGTTGTCTTAAATCATAAACGTAAGCTTTTGACTACCAAATCATATAGTAAAAATGAAGCCACGAATAGAAGAATGTACTGTGTCTTTATTAAATTTTGTTATTGGTGTTCAAGCTCCATTCACAATGGTTGAAAGCTCTTGGTTTCATGAAATGATGAGTACACTTGATCCATGTTATGTTCCACCAACACGTACCTATATAAAGGAACGAATTATGTCTCAGTTTCAAGCTCAAAGAGTGCTTATTGCAGAAAAACTTAACAATTTTAGTTATAAAATTGCACTTACTGCGGATATTTGGACCTCATATTCAAATCAATCATACCTTGGAGTAACTGCGCATCTTATTGATGATAAATGGGAAATGAAACGATTTTTGCTTGACCTTATTCATTTCGAATTCAACCATACTAGTGTGCGCATAAAGGAAAAACTTAATCAACTTTGCAATGATATGAATATTAATGATAAAATTATTTCATTAATGATGATAATTATTCTGCAATGATTTTGTGTGAAGATCTATTAGAAAGAGAGTGGAATGAATTTTGGTTTAAATATTATAGGTTAGTATATATATATATTATCATTATTATTTTTTTATTTTATTTTTTTTTATTTTTTTTTTTATTTTTTTTTTTAACATGCATTTTTAATTTTTTATGATACTATTATAAATATGCGGCCTATATTCTCAATATTGCTGTTGGTCACAGAATGCAACTACAAACAGAATTAATAAAAAAAGTTAGAAGTTTCGTAGTTAAGGTTCATCATTCTACTATTTTATGTGATGATCTTCGGCATTTTTGCGCAATGAATAAAAAGCAATATATTACACCAAAAATTGATATATCCACTTGATGGAACAGCACTTACGATATATTATATCGATTCAAATTAATACATGCTGAGCTTGATTTTCTTGTAACTAAGCACCAACTTGGATATATGTTTCTTAATAAGGATGAGTGGAAAAATATTGATGTTATTATTAGTCTTCTTTATTCTATACTTCAAGCAACTGAGCTACTTTCATCTAGTTCTTACCCAACAATGTCTGATGTTCATTTGTGCTTTGGAGGAATTCTTCAACATCTTGATAAATTTATTAATGAAAAAACACATTCAGAAGAAGAATGTATGA